TTTTTTACTGTTTTCAATTTTCTCAAAAGCTTTTGAATAACTCAACGGGGAGAAGGTTTGACAAATTTTCTTCATTTTTTTCTAAAACACTACCCTTACTCTATCAGAGATTCAGGTTTCAATCGAGAGAACAGTTAGCAGGGATCTCTTCTTCAGAAACTTTTTCTCGCTAAATTTGTTGTAGAACAAATTTATGGCCCCAAGCAAGGCCCTTTTTGAGAGTTTGGTTAATTGTTGACACTTTTCAGTTTTTTCTCAGAGTTAACGAACCATATCGGGAATTAAGGTTTTAATAGAAAAAAATTTTTGGAAAAACTTCCTTAACGAAATATTTTTGCCCTTATGTTTCATTTAAATAATTTATCTTCCCATTGTGAGAGACTACATTCTAATTTTTGTAGGAAAATTGTTACAGATTTCCGAAAAGCCGAATTTGTTTATGCTCTGATTCATTTTTTGAATTTTTCTTGTTTTTCTCGATAGTAACCTTGCCATTTTTTGGGCTTAAGGTTCTATCGATAAATCTGTTTGAAGGAGTTCTTTTGCGTGAACGTCTTCACAAAAGTTTATGAAGAAAAAAAGCGGCATTTTGGAAAAATCAAACATTTGAACTTAAAACCGTTTTTGGAATTTTTATGACTGTTCAAAAAACAACGCCACCATTGTTAAAAATACTGGTTCCATCAAAAGAAGAAATGTCGGTATACTTCGTTGCATAAACGGGTACTGGTGTGCCCTTTATTATTAGGAAAAAGCTATAGCCTACGTAAACGTCAGTTATTTTGAATTTTTTGGGTTGTTTCTATGAAACTTTTTGACTTTTATTAAACCTTCTCCTCCAATTCTCAAATTGAGGGATCAATCAAGGAAAGCGCTGCGAATTTTTTGTGCATATGCTGCGACTCCTTAAATATAAACTGTTTTGCTCATGAAATTTCAATTTTTTTTTTTTGAATTCTGACTATTTTTTTTTGCAATTACAACCAATTGTTTGTAGAAAAGCAGGTATGGTTCAAGAAAGATCCAATTTCCGAAGTTTTTGTAGTTAATATTGAAAAGTTTCCTACTTCTTGAAAATTTAAGACAGATCTATACTCCATTGTTCTTGTAGTTTAATTTTGAAAAACCTTCTTCTTTTTGAAAATCTAGCAAAATTCCATTTTCCAAAATTTTTGTAGTTTATTTTTTTAAAAATGCCCATTTCTTGAAAATTCGGGAAAGGGCACTTTCTAAAATTTTGTTATTTTTTTTTGGGAAATTTTCTACTTCTTGAAAACTACCCTGCCAAATCTTAAACTGAATTTGATTAAAAGTACATAAAATATGTTCTTTCCTATAAAAGGTTCGAATTAAGGCCAAATTTTGATGTTTTAAAATTTATGTTTTTCGTCCCGTAACAATACAGCTTAATCTGTAGAAAATTCTACAGCTTTATTGCTCAAAATTTTTTTATGGCAGCGGTTTTTTGGATCAACAGGTGATCCGTTTTCCAATCGTCTTTTTTCCATTCACCTTTTGGTAACTTAAGTCTTTGTTGTGTCGTAATTGTTGCGAAGCTCCGCTTTGCATCTGTGTTCAACTTAATTCCAAATCTTTCGATATAAATGTAGTACCTAATCTTGTACAGATAAGTATGTTTTCATTACTGAATATTGACTTTGAGCAATCGTTCTGTCAGCAAAACGATATGCAACTCAGATTTCTTTCTTCAAAACTGTGAAAAAGTCTACTTTGATGACATTATTTTAGGGAAACGTATTTTAACGTTTACAATGAGAAATTATTTCAAATGAGCTCATTTAAAGGCTAAAGTGCTCAATTGAAATCGGCCTACAAGTGTTTTCTGAAAATTGACGAGTAAAAGTTTCAAATTACTGCGTCAGATTTTTTTAAAATTTTTGTCGAATGTTACATCATCTGCATGTGGATAAACCGCTTTTTTCACATGTTAATTTCATATAACTTTCGAACTAATGTTTTTTAAAGGCTTAATGAAACATCGCATGAAAAACTTTCCATAAACTGTAAAGAAAAAGATGAATCCTTGACGTTTTTTGATGTTGATGTTCCTTCCGTTTCTATGGTTTCACAATGTTATCAGTTTTCTTGGTTTTGGAACACTAAAATATAACTTGAAGGAACTGACGTTTGTTTTGGGTGATGAAAGTTTCGCTCAAGTTTATAGGCTTTTCTTTTCATGAGTTAGACGGAGGACCAAAAGTAAGCAGGGGCGAAGCTGAGCTTCGTGCCACTTGCCATACAAAACAAGAAAGCCTTTAAGTCGAATTTTTTTTTCAAAAAAAACTAGAGCTATCAAAATGAATAGGGCTAAGTTTGAAAGGAAAAACAAGCCAAGACAATAGAATGTAAAGTTCGTATCGAAAAAAATTTACCAAGAAGTCACAAAGCACCTTATCAAGAAACCTTAAAGCTGAAAAAAAATCAACTAGACTTATAAAAGTTTATTAAGTCCCCCTCCCGCTCAACACCAACACACACGCACATGCACACAAACTTTATTTTCCTGTCAAATGAATTATTATGAGGCCACTGAGCAAATATAAACTGGACCGGAACCTTTTGAGCCGAAAAAAAAGGTTAAAACAAAAAAAATTAAAAAGCCGCAAAAAATTCAACTAATTTTAAGAGTAATTTAAAGTTATTAAGTCCCCTCTGACCCCCAAAACACACACATAAAAAACTTTTGCTTGTCAAACGATGCATTATGAGGTCACGAAGCACATATTTTATAGGCCCAAACTTTTGAGCCGAAAGGAATTCAAAAAGAATAAAATTGGAAATTATTAAGTCCCCCTCACCGTCAGAACACACACACACACACACACACACACACACACACACACAAACTTTTTAGCTCATCGAACGAGGCAATATGCGGTCACTATCGAGTCTAAAAAAGTAAAAGAAAAAAAACAACAAAAATATAAAACTTTAACAAATCGAGTTGGTAAAATTACAAACGACATGAAAAAATCCAACTTGACAAATATTTAAATCCCAACAAGCAGAAATTATATCTGTAGCTTGTTAATTATATAAAATATAACTATATATAATTGTTATATATATTAAATATATAATTATTATTTTAATATAATTATATAAATTATATTAAATTTCAAAGTTCACAAGTCTCAAAATTTAACATTCGAAAAAAAGTATCGCTAAGCACGATTTCCATCAATAAATCAGCATTACCCCAAAATTTATTGATTGTTAACTATGCAGACAAAGTTAGGGTAGACGCCCGTTGAAGCCGGCAAAATGGTCATAATAACTTTAAAGCTCTATTTTTTTTTTCAATTTTAAAGGTTTATGTCATGCTCCAAGCACAAAAAGGCAAAAAAAAAAGTTTCGTTCTTCAAAATACGTCAGATGAGGCAACTAAATTGACGAAACAAGTCAAAATCCCTGAAAAGCAGAAAAATGCAGAAATTATACGAAATCCTAAATCCTGCGTCAGTAAAGAATTTAGATATTGTGTTACGCATGTAAATTAGAGCACTAACAAGTTTGTAACTTTCCTACTAAATTGAATGACCATTCTGTGAACAAGTTATTTATGTTAAAGTTTAGTATTCGTTTGCAACACCATTTCTGATCGCTAGGAAAATTACAGTCGTTCATGGAGATTTCAACTTAATTGAGTTATCACGGGGATTTGATGTTTATCGGAACGTTTTCCACGAATGATTGCTTCAACTTCAAGAATTCCTCAAAGGAGGCATTAATAAGTCTAATTCAGTTTTCGGCAATGAACTGTTTTTTTATACACACGAGAGCTAGTAAGTTGAAACCAAGTACCAGATTTTTACCGGTGATTAACTTTGATCATAGGAACGCTTAATTTTTACTTTCGTCAACTAAAAGACAAATTTAGATTGCTGCATTTGAAAAGACCGTTCTATTCGATTTGTCAAAATTTTATTGCTTTTTTCCTGCTCTGTTTTTCAGCCTAGTAGATTTCGGTCTATGTTAAATTGGCTAAGTGACCTTTTATTGGTCGTTTGATAGCCGCAAAAGTTATGTGCGTGTGTGTACGTTCTGAAAAGCTTGAAATTTTTCTGTAGGATAAATTTTTTCAGCATGAAGGTTTTCTGCTTTGTTACTTTTGGCTTTGATATCGCTCATTTAAATTTCATCCGATGCCAATTTCACATTCTATTGCCGTGGCATCATTTTTTCATAGCTAGCTTGATTCATTTTAATAGATATAGTTTTTTCGACTTTTTTGTTTTGTATCGCAAATGGTGCGCAGCAAATATAGTTTTTGTTTTCATGAATATTTCACATAAAACTATTTATTACTCGAATTAAGTCAAAAACTAGTTGATTTTATGAACTCATTCTCTATGAACTGAATTAAACAGGAGCGGATTTATGGGACGACGCCTTCACCGTATCAGGGATTCGACACCTTCGTCAACCAAAGAATCTCTTTGGTATTACTTTCTGACACTTTAGTATTACTTTCTGACATCCAATTCTGGGCCGACCAAACCTCAAATTTTTCTTAAGACACTAATACGTAGTCGCTTATAATGTTCTAGGGGAGCGCTCGGAAAACCAATTTGGTCGACCTAAATATGAACGTAATCGTTTTAAAATCCGCTACCCCTCGAGAAAATCCTGGATCCGCCCCTGATTCAAATATACGGCAATTTTTATCACGATTTCATACAATTTTGAACGGCCAAACATTTTTAGATCACCTCTTAGTAAAAACATTCACTGGTCATATAAAGGTATATCAGTATCCTTAAAAATGACTCACATGGGTATGCATCTCCTCGGCTATCAATTTTCACCTATATCTTGAAGTTTCGCCTATCAAGTGGTTTTTTCTTCAAGTTTAAATCAAACTAAATTTTAGTCGAAATCCACCCTTGCTGGGTCATCCTGTTTCCTTTCAATTTTTTTTTCAGTTATTTAAAAGTCATTTACGAAATCAGTTAAATTTGTCTAAAAATAGAGGAACGTACAGCTATACTTATCTACATATACAGTCAACATTAGACACATTTAATCTCTAAAACGAATTAGAATTTTGCAAATGAAAATTTAAAAACTCAGGATAGGGAAATTACTATTAATAGCGTCACAAAATTTGCGAGCTTTTTACTAATTTAAATATTGGATAGAGAAATGTTGACTCGAAAATTGCAACACCAAAACTTATGCCACGTTCATTGTGGATCAACTATTCATTGCAATTCCGCAGACCCCTTTCCATATTGTCGCCGCGGGTTTCGCAACTAAAATAATTGCAGGAAAAAAACCTGATACAAATCTAAAGCACATCAAGAAAATCCAGCATACACCACTGCTTAAGATAGATATGGATCTATAATATCAGTCTACAGTTGCAATAGAACACATTTGAACTTCAGAATTTTCCAGTGGGTGTGACAGGCTGAGAAAGATAAGCAGGTGTTGAAGCTCTGCTCAGTACCAGTTGCACTTGAGAAGGAGTGCTTCTAACTGCACTCAAGAAATCCGCATGAGTCATGCTATGTGTACTCGCGCCGTTAACTTCCAGAATCACGTCACCAATCTGAAACATTTACATCTGAATTGCTCTGCAATTTTGAAATCAGCGGCGTTAGTTTCTAGCTTTTTTGATGTTTAAACCAAACCCATTTCGAGATTACTTGAGGAATTATTATTTATCTTCAGTAAAACATCTCGAATTCAAATACTCACTTGTTTCATTTCACAATTTATCTATGATTTCCAGTTAGAATATCTGGCAAGCTACCTTTACTCGCTGAGATCTGTCGGCAGGTCCCTCAGGCGCAATTTTGAATATGTTGATCGGGTTCCCGAAGTCCACGCCTCCCTTCACGCTGAATCCGAAACCCACTCTCTCGTCTCTCACTAATCTACACTTGAGAATATTGCCCACCGAGGGAGAGTTCAAATCCGAACTAAAATTATGCATAGAGGATGCTTGTTGGCTAACACTGTGGTTAATTAACTCCGGGGTCAGATCCGTAGGCAAATTGGCTGGTCTAGGCGGCAAGGGATTTTGAGGAGAGTTGGAGGATAGAAAAGATTTAAGACCTCCATTGAGCTGAGAGGGATTTGGTTTCTGTGCTGGTGATTCACTGAACAGGAAATTGGCATTGTTCATCTTACTCATATTCGAGGTCTCCCTAAATTGAAATAAATTGAATATAAACATCGATAGTTGCTTCAGATTAGCATTTTTTCAAAACACTCCGTCCACAGATAAGTGGAAGGTTTTTGCATCATTCAATTTGTTCTTACTTGGAATTAGAAAGTAGACTTGTATTGATGAATTCGTTTGTGAGTGCATTGAGTAGTTTCAGCTCAGAGGACTTGTTCAGCTTCTGTTCAGACTGTGACCACACGGGATCCCTGCTCAGAGTGAGAGTGACCACTTGTCCTGACTCTTTGATCAAGGACACTATACTCGGGTGCTCCAAGCCCTGTATTCTCACATTGTTCACTGCATGTACACGGTCATCTACCTGAAGTTCAAAAGTATAGCTTATCAAAGGTAAGAAAAAATATTTTACAAACTTTTGTTTCATCATTCAGAGTGATCAATTTAAATTCATTTCGTTCGCAAAAATAGATGCAAAAAGAATTGGTTTCATACCTGCAAGTCGCGACACCTCTCAGCAGGAGAGTTTGGAACAATGCCGCCAATCTTCGTATACTGCTTGTTTGATGACGTCACAATAACAAATCCGAAACTCTCTTCTGGACTTCGTCTAACTGTCAAGTCGTAGAGAAACGCAGCACTCCTTCTCAACTTCAGCACCACTTGGCCTCTACTCTTTGCTCTCTTCAGAAGCCAGACAGCTTTGCTGTGCGCTTCACCGGCTACCGATTCCCCATCTATTTCCAATAATTCATCGCCACTTTTGATTTGTGCGTTTTCGGAGGCAGCTGTGTTGTCCAAAATGGATCCGATGAAGATACTGGAATTCTCTTCTGCTCCTCCTCTTATTTCAAATCCAAATTCATCCCTTTTTGTTTTTAACTTTACGTAAAAATCGCCATCATCTCTGTTCCTTCTTGAATTGGGAGGCGCCAAGAGCCTCGCCGAGTTTGCGTCACCATTACCATTCAAAGCAAGAATCGAACCTCCCATTAGGCGTTCAGCTACTGATTGCACACCTCTGATCACGTTTAGAAACGTCAGTTGGTTTACAGGACAGCCTTTGAGCATGTTAACAACTTGATCTTTGGACACATTGCGAGTGCTTGTTTCGTTGATGCTGGTTAAGATGTCGCCACTGCATAACTGTTGACAGTGCTGCTGGTCTAGAACTTGTTTCACTTGCACGTGGTATCCGTTCAGGGCGATTGCAGCTAGAGTGAACCCGAATCCAAACGAGCTCTTCATAATCGTAACTTGTAGGTGCTGGCCACTGAAATACAACATAGTATTTTTTTGTACATTTGGATATTGGAAGACAAAAGGTGCAAGCCTGTAAAAGTGATCAAATGGCTGAGAGGGACGTTGAGGTTTCCTCAAATGCCATTAAAAAAATCTTTTGTTCAGAATTGAATTTAGGGCCATAAAAATGCAATTAAAGCATCATTAGACATAGAGGTCAAATCATACAAATATCTAACAAAGCAAATTGATAATACAAAAATATTTTTCCTGGTAATGCAGCTTAGTATCGATACTCAGACTATGTTATGTGTACTTTTTATCTTTGTAAAATGTGTAAAATTTTTATCTTTGTAAAATGTTTTCAGACGCGAGTAATCCTCACCCACTCTACCCGCTTAAATTATTCTGAGAAGCAAAAACCTCACATCAGCTTTTCGGATTAGATTTTTTTCGGAATAAAAAAATGACTAAAAACTATACGATAACATATCGCGCTCGAGCCCTGATAAAGTTTCGATATGGGCCAATTTACTTCAGACAAAAAATAGGCAAGAAATAGGCCAATTTGCTTCAGAAAAACACGCTTATTTATGTCAATCTCTGGCATAAAGGGCCTAAATATATAATATTGCCAACCCAAACAATTAATCGCACTAAAATAGGTTTCCAATCGCACTAAAATAGGTTTAAAGCTGGAATATTGAAATAGACTAACTCAGGAAAAGTTGATGGGCCGTTGCTGGATTGCACTTGGTAAAGCTGACGTGGCTCCAAGTCCTTCGTCTTACGGGTCAGAGTGCTACTCTTGGATTCATACCCCATCATATCCTCACCCAACATATTGTCCTCGCTTTCTGTTTGTGAAACAGGTCTGCTTGTCTCATAACTTTGGGAACCTTTTATGTTGATTCGATCCTCGTTCACAAAATGAGAAGAAGACGAATCCGACTGTCTGCTGAGACGACTCTGACTCTGTTGAGCTATCGGCGGATATTGCGTCTGACTCGGTAGCTTCTGTCGTAAAGACACCGCTGATGTTGTCTGGTCGTGAATTAACGATGCATAAATGTGATCAATTGCCGCCGATTCTCTCTCCAGTTCATCAATTTCCTTCGAATTTCGATGTCTGTCGAAACCTTGACTACTGCGTTTATAGTTTATAGCCGAGTAATCATTACCCGCCGAATATCTTTGAGGCGCGTGCATGATAGCACCGTTGCCGTTGGCATTTACCTCATGAAAACTGCTGTTATTGCTATTGATATTTCGATTGTTTGGGGACTCGATATCGCTTCGTCTGTTCCATGAAGACCTTTGGGCGTCAAAGTTGTAACTCGCACTTTGAGGTCTGTAAAAGTCGGCTTTCGAGTTTAATCTATTCCGCTGGTGAGACATTTCTGAAACGTCTATAACTGTTGCCTTCGAAGAAACCGTTTTGTCGAATGAGTTCTGGTTTGAGGCGCCGCTCTGGTTCAAAGAACTGCTATTTGTACTCGACCCAGCAGCAGAAGAGACGTAAATTGGGGTTTTTAAACTGGGTTCATCCTTGAATCTCTTGACAGATACCTTGACCGAATCTCCTTCAGACAGTGCTTGGAATATTCCCGCAATCAGTCTGTTGTCTGCGTTTATGGCCGAAGTCTCGTTAACCAAGCAGAGTATATCGCCTAGTAAACAAACCAACTGACATACGGATATACTCTTTTCGTAAACACTTAGCTAGGTGGGACGCAACCTACTTTCCCTCTCGAAATTTGAGATTTGAAGTGATAAGTGGGATTTACAAATTAAATAGTGTCCCTTTTAGATACGATCGAGTTTCCTTCGATGTTTATATCAACTTTCTGCTTCCTTATTTGAACAAAATTCACACCATTAATGACATTTTAACGGCATTTCAAACAAACTAAACTAAACAGTCATTTCCGCTTCCAGACTTTCAAATAGCACAAATCTCATTACCTGACTGATTCAACATGTTTTGTAATTAGGTTATTCAGGTCGTTCTGTTTATTTATTGAGCGAACTATTTTAAGCCCTGAACTGCCGAGTTGATAAATCGCTGCGATTTATTGGCTATTCAGATTCTATCTTTATCTTTAGGAGAGACTTTGCACGACAAGCCGTCCGATTATAATTCCTTCCATGAAAGCAGGAAGACAAGAGATCAACTATACTTCTAAAAACAAATTTTACAGATGACACTATAAAAACAACTTTACTCGAGTAAAACCAAGTTTTTACGTCCTTAAGTACGCATAAAAAGCTATTGTAAGCCTGCTCGCTCACATTATTCACTCGAGTTAAAGACTAAAAATCAAAAACTTAAGCCCTAAAACGTCTACTAAACGTCTTTCTCGATACTGCGACAACTTTTGGTAAGTTTTTAATGTCACTGGAATCACGACTGGCATTGCTTTAAAACTATATATCACTCGATTCATTCCGATGATTATTTGTGGTACATGATTTTGCGCGGAAAACAAAAAAGAAAAACTAAAACACACCCGAATACAACGTCCCCCCACCCCATATTTCAAATGGTCGGAACAACAACCGTTAAAAAAGTGTTGGTAAAAGTCTTCTTTAACAAATCTTTTCTGATAACTAACTCCGATCCAAAACAATATTGTTTTGTTCATTTTGTTTGATTTAATTAAACTAATTCTTCGGTTCGAATTTGGCGATTACAACCCTAAGTAAACAAAAACATGACAAGAAAGAGAGAACAAAATGAGAGCCACCGATTGTTGCGAGACACCGCTTTCAGATAGTTACAAAAGTGTCAATTGGCACGGAACAGCAAAACTGACCCGCAAAACTTCTATTTGAAATTATTTTACAACTTTCTGATATACGAATATTTTCAATCTGACACTCTTTGATTTCAAAGCACCTTTTATTATTGAAAATTTCCACGAAATCTAAACCAATTTAAGAAAATTAGGTATTATTATATTTTCACTAGGACATTTCATGTGCTGTAATAATTTGCTATAAAAACGCAAAGCGCGAGAACAGCAAGAAGTAGCTCTAAAAGGTTAAACAGTGAAATAAGGAAGGAGCCTTGAAAAATCACCGACCTCCTAATTAGGATTCTCACATCCTCGCCTTTGCGCCACGATTGCTTCAAAATTAGCAAGGACTAGCCAACAATAAAGCAGAGAAAAGATGGTATTAAATCCCCAATGCTTATTTTAGTAAAATTTCCACAAAAGAGTATTTTTCTTGAATCCTTGGTTTGGAAAAAGGTGGACTTCATAAAATGAAAGTATGGGCGCTAATTCGTGTGTGTGAAAAACTTTTTAAAAGAAGTAAAAAAATAATGAGAATAAAAGTGCTGTAAGATAACTGTTGCTATTTGAAAAAACGTCACCCAAATAAGCAAATTACATTTTGTCCAGAAAACAAAACAGTTCTGACACAAGCTTCGTTTTCGTAAAAAATAATATTTAGAGTACCTCCTGGATTTAAACCGAAATCTTGTAAATAAACAAATTATTATTCTACTAGGCAGAGCCCGCACAATGCTCGTAATAAACTTTTTCCAAATTAATTCAGAATTGTTGTTCAAATTTATTTGGTTCCAGACATGGCTTTTACACATTTTCCTAAACGCCTACTAAAAAAACTTCAGCTTGCAGAAAAATTACCTTGTTTTAATTTCGCTCTGTCTGCTGGTCCTCCCTCTACGATCTCCGTTATTTGCAGAGCATCGCCCAGTAGCTTCAACCGGCGTACATACCAACTTCCACTGTCCTCATTGCCATGTAGAGGCGACTGTTTTATGTCGTAGGAGGGACCAACAGGTTGCAGAGTGAATCCGAATCCCCGGTCAGATTTGACCAGAACTGTGTCCACGTCCTCCCAGAAATAGTCTGTTCGCACTGGTTCAGAGTCTATTTTAGATTGCACTACCTCGAATTCTGAAAAAAGTATCTTGATAAACCATTCCACTGCCATTTAATCAAACTCAACAAACTACCAACAGCTTTGTCCTTCGCTTTATATTCTTTCCACTCTGAAAAAATTTGAGACGATATTTGATATTATAGACTTGTGTCAAAACAAATTGGCCGTTTCAGTATTTGGGTTCATTTATTTATCAGGGAAAAGGGCAACTAAAAAACTACGGATCTCAGGTACTCACGTGATATTTGAATTGGATCGGGAGGCTCAAATTGAGTCTTCCTGTTGATATGACTGAAACATAATAAGCAGTCTTTATTTAAACTTGTATGGTTTTGTTTTTCAATGAGCACCACAAAGATTTGATTGAAAATTGATTTAGTTCCATCAAAGCGTACAAACAAATATAACCGAGAAACATTCCGGCTTAAATTAAATGAGTTATATCTGAGGTCCTGAGGTCAAATAGTTTCAAAGTTAAAAGCACGTGATCATGATTTTCAGCTTCATTTCACCTTGATAGTTCCAATCTCTCGAACGCTTCCCGAGGTTTCGACAGAAATATTTATTGTGACAGCCCCACAAATAAATCTCTTTGTTTGATTAAACTGAAGCTAGAACATAAACATGTTAAGTCTGTGCTTACTCGACATAATAAACAATGTTCTGGTCCAAGTCTTCTATTCTCTCCCAGCCGGGTGGCAACTCCATGACTGAAAAATAAAAAACACATTCACAGCAAAATTCTCCAAGTTAACTTCAAGTTAATGAATTTTGCTGGTTTACTTGGAAATTAAGGTTGTTTTAGGAAAATTTTCCGACTGCATCAAATATTCTCTGACCAATTTCGCACTTAACACAACGGCAAAAAATTCTTACTTTTATCAGTGAATGCATGGGATTCTATGGGAGTGTCCTCCTGGATTTCACTGACGTGGTCGTCAAAAGCTATGTTTTCTGGACAGGGGGTGCCGTAATAATTGCCTAAACAACTAAGTTTAAGGTAAGATCAACAATGTCATAGAAAAGCTACGAAGGCGAGGTTAGAATATCAATATAATAATCTAACGTTCAAAAATATTTTTCGGAAACTTACCTTCGAAGACTGTGCTCTCCAGGAAAAAATTCTGGTTCTCGAGATCCAGGAATTGAAGCTGGGTCACGTGTTGATATGGTGATTCTTGATTTTCTTGTTCCATCATTAGCGTCGTGTCTGGACAATAAGAAATACAAATCAGATTAGATTGTTTGCGTATATAATAACCGCTTTCAGGCAGATAAAACACAAAAATTTATAATAAATTCAAAAAAACAAGGATAGCCGGTTGCTAAGCAAGTGGCACAAAATGTTCCGACCAGTCGTAAAAATACAAAAAGTTTTTTTTTCAAATTAGTCGTTTTTTGTTGGCGTGGTGTGATAAAAAAGAGCTGAACGAAAAAAAAACTGCGATTAGGCTTAGTCGAAGGTCACAGTGAATTAGCAAATACCTGATTTTGCCTGGAAAAATAGAAAACACACGAAAACAAAGTTCCTCCCCAATTTCAATAGTCGGAACAGGAAGTACTGCGTGAGAGTTCACCATTGGATCTACAGATCCGTTTTCAGATGTCTCTGAGCCGAAAAAAGGTTCCAATTTATCTAAATAGCTGAAAACAAGGTCTCAATACCTCTTCGCTTTAGTTATTCGCAGAAAAAAAAACGAGTAATAGGTATGGTGAAATCAAAACGAGTTTAAAAAATGAAAAAAAAAAATAGGACAGATTAGAGAATTTTTTCTCACTAGTTCTTCAATGTCTATGATGTAGCCAATGTCCAAAAAAGTGTAGTTGAAGCCGTTCACTCCAAAACGAGTTTCAAGTTATATAGTATCTATCAATTCTGTATACAAACCTTCAAATGATATCATGTCATCTATTAAGTAATAAACCATGCTAGCTTCCAAAACGAAATGGAATAATTCATAAAAGGCACCATCGATGAGCTAAATGGAACGTGAAATGAGAAAAAAAACTCTAATCGTAGATAAAATGAAAACCTTCCCGTTATCCTAATCACAATCAAGACAATAGCATATTAATTCTGTCACAATGTTGATCATTTAGTGGACTCACAGGGAATGATGTATCTGTGGATGTTGGCTCTGACGTCACTCTGCAGCTGGTAATCCGGCGTTTCTCTATCGAATCTGGCCTGCAACAGGTCTCTCAGATCCAACGACAAACCACAGTCTGAAACTAATTCCTCATAAGCAAACTCACATTCATACGGTTAACACAGACACGAATCAGCATTTCGAAAACAAGCACAAACACGGCAAAAAACTTTCGACTGTCTGAATGAGGTATTGTGTCAAAAATATGAATTGCATTCATTTCTAGCCTCTTTTTTCATAAAGATATCTTTTGTCAAATTAACGATAACAAAACTAGAAGCTGCAACGAATATAAAACAATCGCAGTATTTAGCTATTCGCAAATTTTACCAGCCTATTTTTTACATTGTAAAATGTGTATTTTCCAATTTTCATTCGGCGATTATTGTCCGTTAACATAAAGCTTAAGTTTTCCTGGTGATCAAAAATCACAAGCAAAACCAACCATACACAAAAGTTTCCAGGAAAGGCGAAGCGAAGTGGAACCTGATCTAGACTACATTTTATGATTGGATAATTTAGATATTTTACCAATGTAAAGTATTTAATATTAACCAATCATGATCCATCTAACTAACAACCCACTTATTTGTAAGTGCTGAAGTTACTTGTAATTTCAGCACCAGAGAGATTTGAATTTAACTTAGAAATTAGTTGGACTCTCCCGAGCACTTCAGCAGCCGCAATAAACCAGTATACCCTAGATCTATTGAGCCTAGCAGAGACTAGTTAAACAACCTGAGACTAGATAGTATAAGAGTAAGATTAGGATCGGTATTAGACTAAGAAGTTGCACGAATCTATCCGGCCGAAAATAAGATAGCGTGACGAGCAGACGGTGTACCCTATCCGAAATTACTCTATGAGTTAACCAACTCGGTCATAACTCATCTGGTGCGACCATAAGTCTCGAACAAGACCTTAATAGCTTAGAATTAACCAAAATAGATTAGAAATTAGACAAAAACATTTTAAAAATGTTATACGACAATAATTTAATCGAAATGTCTCTACGACTCAATAGATCAGAGCCAATATTCCGAACCATAACAGAACTACCCGGAATTGGAAGAAGACCTCGAACCAGAGACGACATACGACAAAGTAGAAACTTGCCATATAGCTATATGATAGTTAGGCAAAAACCAGAACAAACTTTTATATTTAGAATACTACTGGCAATGAATTTAGATTTTCATTTGCAAACATAAAACCTTGAAGTTAATCTTCAAAATCATTTCAGGCGCTAAACAAAATTATTAATATACAATAACGATTGATAAAAAGATCTAAGATCGTTTTCCTAAAACTCTGCAGTAATATACAAAACATGTTTGAAAAATATTTATTGAAAAATAAAAATAAAAATTAGTAGCATGACAATAAATGGTTAGTAATCATAAATCATCCTGTTGTTCCAGCTCCATCATCTAAAACATAACAGCAATCATAAACCCACTAATATCATCAAAACACTAAATCTTTCCTTTACACACATTTAAAATTTTATTAAAACTTAAATTCACTTAATTTTAAAACCAGATCATCAAGGCTTATCCTTGGATCTTAAATCATTTTCTACTTAATTAAATTTCAAATTTGATCATCAAGGCTTATCCTTGGATCAAACAGAACAACTTTGTTCTCCCCCACCCACTTAATTAGTGTCTAACGACCTCAAACGTCGATTCACTACCCAACCCTTTCTAAAGACCTAAGACTAATAGAAATTTTTAAACAAAACTAATCATTCAAATTAGGATAAACAGTGAAGAACTTCGGTTATTCATCCTTCACTTGACCCCCCCCTCTTAACAGACCCAGGATAAATCTTAGACTTAGTAAGTTTAAAATAGTATCTAACGAACTACTCGCGTTCTAATTATACCTGAACCTTGTGGATCGATTTACTATTCTCCAACCCTTGAACACAATCACTACCCCTAAGTAAGATTAAGTAAGTTAACACCTTAACTTATACTAGCCACGAGAAAGTAAAAAATCATTCTTCGGAATCGATATACTTTTCTCTCCAACCCTGAACAAATAGACCCAGGTTAAGCTAACCAAAAAATCGTAAGAACTAACAGTTTAGGAAAATAGAAATCATTTAACAACCTTTTGCATCCGTCATCCTAAACCTTATGTCATTTAAAAACCTAGGAAATAAACAAACAATCGTTTTACACAATTGTGAAATAGATAACAAAAAATACGACCTTGTAATCACACCTCATACACAAACAGTTGGATACATTCGAACAAAACGACAAACACTAAAAAGAAAAATAATAACGAAACAAAGACAAATAACACGAAAAAGATTTTCAAAAAATCGAAACGCATTTTCAGAATCAGAAACCAACAGTTTAGACGAACTTTACAAACTAAAAGAATCAATAGATAAAAATTGCCCACTTCACGATCAATTATATTTTTCTGACTCAGAAACAACTTCAAATTCATCAAAAAGAGGAAAAAGAAGAATAAAAAAGCAGTATAAACACAAACCAGTACATTTATACAATTGGAATCAACCAATTCGACACATTAATAATTACATATTAACAGTCATCGAACGAAAAAATGAGCTCAACGCACACCCCAGGTGAAGAAAGTACAGATGATGATGAAATCTTTCCTTTTATAGTAGATGCAACCACTGATAGAGGACAGCATATATTTTGCAAAAATTTACTATTAAATTTATTTGAACCCGGAATCAGTCCATGTAAAACAGAGTTCCCAGATGTAAAAATCAAAAGACAAATCATAGACCACTACTTAAAAGATATGTGCAACATAACACAACAGTATGGAATCTACTCCATAGAATTCACCTCACCAAACCATAATAATAGAAAATATACAATTCAAACAGACGATCTTGATTTAGAATTTTCAAAAATTTTTTCAGAATATATAAAAAGCATCCAATATCATAACTCACAAAGAGCAAACTCCATATTCACCAATGAAGTTTTCGCAATAATATATAGTTATATTTCGATATTAGAAAACGAAATCCCAATAACAAATGTCTCACCGACAGAAACATCTAAACATTTGAAAGTACGACATGAAATCACACTACTCTCTAGTTATTTAAACATCATTAAAGAAAATTTCACGAAAGACGACGTTTCACAACATACAAAACACGATCTACAAAAAATTTTGGCATGGTTCATAATAGATTATTTCACACACAATATTGATTTAATTGCACAAGCAAGAAAAAATTTTAGACCCCAAAACTCGAACGATGATACCGCTATCACAGAACAATCAGATTATGTTTGGGACCCCGAATGGTCTCATCCCGCATTTATAAGCTTCCCACAATCAATCTCAAGTCAAGCAATAAGTACGATATCTTACATAAGAGATTATGTAAAAGTAATACCATTAACCATTGATGCAACACCATTAAACTATAATACATTTTTGCCCGATACACAAAATAATAGTTTAAACTCTACAGTTATACACAATGAAAACCTCAATGGAACTAGGAATCTTACTCAACAAGATATCCAGACACCATCACACTTCATAAATGAAGAAATTGTACACACAACAACTACACAACAAAGTATTTCACCAATACGCCCAAATTTAACAACACCAAGAAATACAAATCCTTCACAAACACAGGTAACCTTACAATCAACCGTTAAACCTTCGGTTGCCCCTAAATATTCACATATGGATTACCAAACATACAGACCCATGACAATACCATCAAAAACACGCAAAACATTCACTAGAAACAACTTTACAGACCATAATTATAATTATACACATCCATCAAAAACATATAACCAACCACAAAGAAATTTTAACCAATATACAAGATCTCGAAATTGGGATAACCCAATGACCCAACCTAATTCAATAAATTTCCAAACAAATCCTCCACAGGATCACAGTGAAAATTAGCCATTTTTTCAACAAAATAAAAATAAAAAACAGACATCTTATCAAATGGATTATTTATCCTCAGATGATGATTTCTTACAACCAGATATATTTGCACCAAATACTCAAGAATATCGTAGACAAGGAATACAGAGAACACGTACAAATCATAGAAATTTTTCTCCACAACCAATAGATGCACAACATCAACAACCAATTCAACAACAAAATCTAATTAATACACAATCTTTTCAACCAATTCAACAACAAAATCCAATGACTGCACACTCGTATCAAGCATCACAAATGCAAAATGAAATACCACTCCCATATTATCTCCAACAACATGAAATAACAAGAAACCAACTTTCAAATTTTTCTCAAATGCCAAATGCAGCAGAATCATTACAAATGACAATGAATCCATACCTTATGGGTGGATCATCAATAACATCAAACAAACCTTTAATGGTTTTCACAGGAACAGACCCTGAATACTCTGTAGAAGATTATTTAAATGCAGTAACAGCAAACCTGATTTTAAATATTGGACCTGAACCAATTAATACGCCACTACATCAAAACTGGATACATCGACGCACAGCGTTAATACAAACAACCTTAGATGGCGCAGCCCAAAAATGGTTTTCAGTACTACCTCTAGAAATAAAATCAAACTGGAAAAGGTTTACACAGGAATTTTCAAAAATGTTTGACTCCGAAAGAAACAAACAACAACAAAGAGTTTTATGTAATGAAATTCGCAGATTACCAAACGAAACCATCAAGCAAATAGCAGTACGAATCGAAACACTAGTTCGAAAAGCATATTCACTAAATACACACGACTATAAAAACACAAAGATGACAGAAATCTTAATGATGACCTTAACACCACAATTAAGGAAAATAGCAATAAAAAAGAGAGCATCCCATCCTTCTTCAATTCGAGAACCCGATTTAGATTTTCGAAAACTAGTAGACAAATTAGAACAAGCAGAAATCACGATGAAACTAGAAGAAACGGAAAATCTGAAATTACAATACGTTAACAGAATTGAAACGACTCCCACTAATATTAATAATATACAGGAATCAGAGACAGACCTCGTTGAAAAAATCACTGAAATACTCAATATTTACGAAAAGAACCCA